ATAGTAAAGAGAGATTCAAAGACAAAGAAAATTTTAAATGATTTACAGTGTGTTGAAAATAATATGCAGACTAAAAGTTAAAATTCTTAAAGTAAGAAAAAGAGAAGTCGTGTGTGGTAGTACACGCCTTTAATCCCAACGCTTGGGAGGCAGAGGGAGATTGACCTCTGTGACTTCAAGGTGTGGTAGCACAGGCCTTTAATCCCAGTGCCTAGAAGGCAGAGACAAACAGATCTCTGTGAGTTCAAAGTATAGTAGTGTACACCTTTAATCCCAATGCCTGGGAGGCAGAGACAGGAGGATCTCTGAGAGTTCAAGGAGAGCCTGGTCTACAGAGTTATTCCAGGTCAAAGAGATACAGAGAATATAAAATAAAAGTAAAAATAAACGAAATAGAGGTTAAAATAAAGCGTACAAAGATGGAAAATACACAGAGAATCTTGATACTGTATACTACTATGCTCTCTTTGAATTGTTTGAATGCTGAGGAAGGAGCAACAGATGCTAAAAGATATTTGTTTATAAATGCTGCTGAACTAATCCAATGTAGAGATTTTGATGCCTTGACTTTGAAATTTGGATCTAAGGACATGATGCTTTCGAAAGGAGTTTCCTATTTTGTTTTCACAGAGGATGAGACCCTGTTCATTTCTTCTATTCCGATATGGTATGATGGACCACGCCCTCCTGAAAGGTTGCAGTGAACACCTTCAGAAAATTGCTTCACTCAACTGCCAACTGAGATGAAACTAGCACACAGGTTATACCATGAAAGACCTAATTAACGACGCCCCCATTCAGCAGGAAGCAGTTTGGAGAGAAAAAAAAACTGCGCCCATGTTCCCAAATATGGTTTATAAACGTTCTTTTACATTTAAAGAGGGATATGATAGAGATATGAATAATTTGCATTAGTATAGATTTTGATTTATTGATAGGGATTTAAGGTCAGTTTTGTTATATGTATATGTATTTCTGATATTGATTAAGGTATTGTGATTGTGTAGTACATTTAAAAATGTAAATGTATAATTAGAATATAGATTGTTAATAGATAATCATAATAATCAAGTTTGTAGTTATGTTAGTTAAGATTTTCTATATGTACATATATTTTAGATAGGCATTCTTCATATCTTTCAAAGATTATAGAATATGGCATTTTAAATGTTTTAATAACTTAGGACTTTTCATGACAATGAGACACTCTGCTCCTGGCATCACCAATCTACTTCAAGAGGAAGATGGGCATCGAAGAAGATCCTTATGGAGTCTGATAGCCATTTGGGCAAGAAACTACTCTTGCCTGGACTATTGCATAAACTGGACACAGAGAACCCGCAGAGAGAGGACTGCTGAACTTGCCTAAAGGTGAGATGACCTTTTGGGGTTCCTGATTCATGAAAGAGTCTGCAAGACATTCTTCAGGACAAGCAGATAGTGACTGCCTTTGAAATTTCCTGATTTGTGGAAATGTCTGCTGGAAACCATGGGCCTGTAGGCCGAAGATGGATGCCCGAATGGTACAGAGGAACTTTGGGTGACTGTCCAGGCAGCGAGATGTCTCTGTCATTTCTAGAGTTTTGGATTTCTTGTTTGCTTAGGTAATAGTATATCTTTCTGGAGTCTTTGATGGAGTTAAAGAATAGTTAGTTATAGTTATAGTTTTCCTTAGTTATGATATAGATTATTGTAATTTTTAATTGATAACTGTTCTGTTATATGTAATTTTGCTATGTTAAGTTAAAGCCTTCCTTTTTTTTTGGTTTAAACAGAAAAAGGAGAAATGATGGAGGAAGGTCATTGGCTAATAAAGAAACTGGCTTGGACCATTTTATTGGTTAGAACATAGGTGGGTGGAGTAAACAGAAGAGAATGCTGGTAGGAAGAGGAAGTGAGGTCAGAAGTAATGCAGCTCCTCTCAGAGCCAGAGGCCTCAGACAGAGAGGCATGCTCCGCTCTCCCGGGCAGATGCAAGCAATGAAGCTCCTCAGACCCAGGATGGACGTAGGCTAGAATCTTCCCAGTAGGTGCACCTTGGGGTGCTTACACAGATGATTAGAAATGGGCTAAATTAATATGTGAGAATTAGCCGAGAAGAGGATAGATAGAAATGGGCCAAGCGGTGTTTAAATGAATACAGTTTGTGTGTTGTTATTTCTGGCATGAGCTAGCAGGCGGCTGGGGTGCTGGGGACGCAGCCCTGCCTCCACTCCTATTTCAACAGCCCACCTAACTCTATGCATAGGAAAAGTTAAAATAAATGTTGGGTGTATTTTCTGAAACATATTTCTACAAAGCATTTTCTCAAATTCTATGTATTAAAATAATCATAATAAATTCCTTGTTTTCAAAGTAGTAGTCATTAGAACTACTTGCAGAACTTCTTAAAATAACATATATTCAAGTTCTGTACCTGGAGACTAAAACTCAGGTGGTCACAGACAGTTCTCCAGTATCCTAGAGTGACAAATTTGATTCAGTGGTGCAATCTGAGCTAAGAAGCACTGTTATAAAAACTGCAGGAATGGCTATCCATTTCATTTTATTACACTGAGGATATGGTAAGAAAATCAAAGTGCACTGTGGCAAAAGGTGAAAGTGTCTACCTGGCTCCCAAATCTACCTGGCTTTGCACAGAACATAAAGAACAGTGCAGGCAAAACTAAAACATAAACTTACTACTTGGATTTGTACATGTTCCCCCCCCCCCTGGCTGTGCAACTGTTTTTCTGATGTCTAGGCTTTCGTAGTCACTCATGCTGTCTATAGCTCCACCCACTTCAAACATCAGTCAGACCACTGTCCTTCGATTTGTACTGTGCTTTCCTGACAACCACAACTCCCAACACTCTGTTCGTTGCAGGTATGTATGAGAAAAACAGATAACACTAAGATGAACATATTTGTTTGACCCAACCGAAGCTGATTACTACCTATTTGACAGTTGCTTCAATACTTGATGACTTCTTTGAAATACTCCCTTAAACTCAATATAGTTTTCATCCTTATCAATATATTTAAGCTGCTTTGGTTAATTCTGCACACAAGAAGCCATGTACACTGTCTAATGGCTCATTACCACGTTTTTCTTTGGGAGGTGGGGGGTTAGAGTGAGAATGGTCCCCACAGAGTCACTAACTAGACTGCTCAGCCCCCGCTGGTGGACTCTGGGTTATATTCCTGGAGGAAGGGTGCGGGTGGAAGTGGGCACTGAGGCTTCAAAAACCTATGCCATTCCCCTAGTGGTCAAGCATTCAAATTTATGAGCCTGAACCATCACAATTTCCTATTCAAACTTAATTTTATTAAAATACTAACTAATATATAAGACAACTGCTACTACTAATAGCCTAAAAACTATTTTGAAACAAATTTAAAACATAGTTTTGAAGCTCTATCATATAGACAGATTTGTCATAAGATGTACCAACCAAATGCTATATTAGAAGCTGCCAACACATTTATCATTTTTCTCTGCAGGCAGAGTCCAGAGAGCACAGACTGAATACTACTATTCTAATAAAATAACAGTACTAAAGCTTCCTAAGCTCATAGAAATCTAAGTATGCTGATTTTTCTTTTAAAAATATTAATTATTTGGAAATGGAGAAAACTATCACAGTCAAATGGAGATTATAATCACAATCAAAGCAAAACTTACAAATATTTACAAACATAAGTCCTACAAGATATACATCAGATATTAGTGAGATTTCAAGTATTTGCAAAATTTTTAGTGTTCAGTAAGTCCATTTTATAGTCAAAGAAATGATAAAAAATATAAAAGTGATATTGTATCTACTTTCCTTAATACTAGATTTGCAAGAAAAGATTTTATCTTAAATGCTAATTCAAGTCACAATAATGGCTGGGCATGATGGCGCAAACCTCTAAAGTGAGCACTCAGAAGGCAGAGGCAGAGGAATCTCTGATGGGCAGCCTGGCCTTCATTTTTTATTTGGAAAATTATAATTTTATTTTTATTTTTAGATTATTACATAGTGAAATATTTTTCAGTATGCTTATTAAAATAACTTATATCCATATTTGAACTGCACTATGAAAACATTTTATTACTTAAGTATTTAGTATTTTGGTGTTTACAATAAACAGACATCTAAAGGTAGCCTAACACCTGTCTGATGATGGAAGGCTTTGAAATTCGTCCTAGAATGATGAGTTCTAAGAATGTTACTGAAACTCAGCAAAATTGTATCTTCTTAATAGTACAATTAATTAAATAATCACATGGGAATTATGTGAGGCCATGAATTCTTAGTGTTGAAAGGGACATCATAAACTAACTTGTGTAGTTTTCACCAGATACATGAACTTTAGAAAAGATTAAGATTTAAGCACATAAGGACATCTTCAATAGACAATAAATCCACTACATTTCTAATTCTTGACAAAAAAATCACAAAAAATAACAAATGGGAAAGAATACTTGAGACTAAAGGAATAGTAACAGTGTCTGAAGTGTTTCTGTAAAAAAAATATACCACTGTTTAAAAGAAGTCACATAGAGGCTAATTTCAGCTACTCACAGAATTTAATTTCAGAGAATACTTCCTTCCAATACTTAATCAAGAATTAGAAATTTAGTGCATTTATTGTCTCTTGAAGATAGCCTGGCCTTTATAAGGAGTCATAGGACATTCAAGACTACACAGTGAAATCCTTTCCCCAAAACAAGACACGTCAATTAAGACACAATAATGGCCAAAAAAGAAAAAAAAAAGTAGCCATAATAGTTGAAATAAATAAGAATTATGGGGGGCTGGAGAGATGGCTCAGTGGTTAAGAGCATTCATTGCCTGCTCTTCCAAAGGTCTTGAGTTCAATTCCCGGCAACCACATGGTGGCTCACAACCATCTGGAATGAGGTCTGGTGCCCTCTACTGGCCTGCAGACATACACACAGACATAATATTGTATACATAATAAATAAATAAATATTAAAAAAAAAGAATTATGACACAGAGAATATTTACTACCTTTATCTTGGTTTTCAAATTCTTCAGATAAAAGATGGTAGCAACAGCCCACACTGCAAACTCCTTTGACTTCAGACTTGGATGCAAATATCCGCAGAGTATTTGGTGCAAGATCACCACAAGTATGCAGACCCACCATTAGACAGTCCTTTAGAGACAAGGCAAAAGGGGGGTGGTCAACTGATTAAAAGGAGAGTTCAAAACTATACAAGGGAAGGTTTCATGTGTCTTTTCAAATATGTGAACTTTTAAGTAGTCAATTCTACACAAAAGGTATTATGTATCACTTTGTATGCAAACTAAGTAATTGTTCCTTTTAGCTAAGGTAGCCATATTTTCCTACAGCTTCTGGTTTTTTGTTTTGTTTTGTTAATTTCTTCATTTGTATTTTTCATCTCTTTTATAACTAATACTTGCTTAGCAGCTAGATAGTTCAAATTACAGGCTCAGGTTGGATAAAAAAAATGCAGCTACTCAATAAACCTAAGGTTTGAGATGTTTATGAGATACTATGAATATACAAGTCAAATTTCTTTTATTGATTGAACTTATTCAGGCTGCCCATCTTGTAAAACATGGTTATAAGAAACAGAAAAGGTACAAAATTGTCATTTCTAACATAATGCCAATATGTTTAGCTTACTCATTATTCAATCTTAATAAAATAAAAATCAAGATACGTATTTTTGTTCTCAATTTTCCATCATGAATTGTATGTAAAAATTGTCTTATGAAATGCTTTTGCCAATTACTCAAATCATAATAAATGTACTCACATGAAACTGAGTACAATGTATACATGCAGAGAATTCTGTCAACTACCAATCATCTACAGCTGAATCTATTATGGGTTTGTTTAACATGAATCATAAAGTTGAATTAAGGAGGAACAAATCAGACTTTTCATGCAAGACAATTTGTATCCACATACTTTTGTCATTTGGTACTAGAGAAGTTGCATTATCTATTTAGGTTTTAAGGAGACTATTTGTGTCACAACTTAGACACATTAAAGCCTTAAAGAATTCTCATAGGCTACTTGCTCTAGGATAGTGCACGCCTGTCAATACAGGTATGCTAATTACCTCTTTATCTGTTCTCACTGCCCTGATTGGATCAGGTGTGGATGCATGAAAACATGCTGCAGTCCAGGGAACACCTACAATTACTATAAGTGTCAATTCAAAACAATAAAAATTATAGAAACATTTAGACCTTTCTTGGACTAGAATTTTAACACTCTGAATTGTGGATAAGATAATTTGGTTTACAGACAAGTATTTGTGCTAGCTCTTTTATTTCAAAGTAAAATGAGGAAAGGGTTTTGCATTCCATAGTATGTCCTCATTAAATCTGGACTGTTGTGCATACAAAGAAAGTCAGCTTAGCATTTTACTCTTGATCTTTAGGACTGCTGTGCTAGATAATATCACATTAGTAGAATAACAAGCTATTCATACTGTAGTCTATGTGGTGACAGCACTCTTGCAAACTAGAAGATTCAGAAGTAGACTCACCTCCAGATCTTTAATAATGTCATGTAACTCTGAATCAGCAGTGATAAAAGAGGTCAGTGGTGAATAAATACTTGGGCCGCTTGGTTTAGATATCATATTTCTTTCCTGTTTCCTCACTTCAGACATTTCTGCATTGTGCACCTGTGATGAAGTAGGTTCAACGGCGTCAATAGGCAGAAAGTCCATGAGAGAAAAGGCATTTTCAAAACACAAATTCCTTTCTTCAAGTGGCTGAGCATGTAGATTTCCTTGCTGTTTTCTAATGACTGAAACTGCCGACTCTGAGCACTCTGGCGCAGCACCAGCAGACATGTCTTGATTCCCAAGGCTGTTCTTCAGTGCCCTCTCACAGTTTTCCTTATGCTTTGCTTCCTTTTCCGCTTTTATTCCTTTCTGCGGTTTCAATGCCAGTCCGTTGGCATCTTCTCTCGTCTGACCATGATACAGGTGCCAATGTTTCTTCAACTTCCTGTTTCTCTCCTTAGCTCCGTGAGTATTAGTATTTGAGGAATCAATGCCATAGACATTTAAACCATACTTTAAGGACAAAAAGGAGCTTAGGTAGCCTTTACCAGAACCCACATCAATTATCTGAGGAAAACAAGAAAGAATGAATTCAAGATTTCAGTCAGTTGGTAGTAGAAACATTCCAGATATTTTATTACGATGAATAAACAAATGCAATATATAACTTACATAATCTCCTATGTTTGCTTTTTCAGTTTGATTTCTATTAAAATCCAATCACTGATCATTTTTATTAAACATTTTCCAGTTCCAGATAGCATAGTAAATCAAAGCAACAAGTAAGTAACAAACATAGTATTTGAAAGTGAGAGGAACATGCTTTTATCGTATATGACATGATTGTGTGCGAAGTAAATCCTAAAGAATATACTTAACCCTCTAATATATAGCAGCTACAGACCTTGTAAACCATTCGCAACAGCGCCTAGCATAATATCAAGTAAAGTAAGTTTCTAGAAAAAAGAAAAGCATTTGGAGTCTGAAGCAGATATTACCAATGTCCTATAGACAAAGTCCAGAATAATTTGGGCAAGACTTTCTGCATAGGCTTTTGGGAAGTCAGACCATCGCTCTGACTGTAGCGATTCTTTGCCAAGCTGGGGGAAAGGCCAGGTGTTGAAGATAAAGCAGAGGAAATAGATTCATCAGACAAAGAAAATGTTAAATTCAACAAATTCTCAATGCAAAATATACAGGAAATCTGGGACACCATGAAAAGTTCAAACTTATGAATAATAGGTATAGAAAAAGAAGATTCCCAGAACAGACACAGAAGTGGGGCAGGCACGAAAGCCACCAATAATCAAAGCACATGGAACCAGAAACCGGTTCCTCAGTAGTTTGACTTGTCAATCTAAATTAACAAAGTCTGAGTTCAACAAGAGGCAATGCTTCAATACATAAGGTGGAGTGTAATCATGAAAAAGCTACCTGATGTCAGTTTTGGGCTGCCATAAGCACACACCCATATCTACACATCACACATGCGTGTGTGTATATGCGTACACACACAGAGGCACATGGCAAACAATACACATGCAAAAATGAATTAACATAAAACAATAATCAAAACAGTTTAGTAGTAATGTAGAAATAGACATAAATCATGGGGAAAGATTCTACAAACCTCTTCTTAAATCATCAACAGATTTTAGACAAGTCTGTCTAAAGATATGTCTAAAGTCATATCTAAAGATATGCCCAAGGATAAAATATTTTCAATAAATAATACTGTGGTAACTGGGTGGCTAAATGAACTCCACTCTGTGTGTCACAGAGGAAACAAATATTAATTAAAAGTGGACCACAGATCTCAATGTTATAGTAAAAATAATATACTTTGGAAGAAAATATGAAAAAAATCTTTGTGATCTAGGGATAGGAAAGATTTCGTATACAGAACACAAAGTATGAACAACAAAACAAAACCTATTTCATTCAAAATAAAGCTGTTGCTATTTAAAATAGACAGTTTAAACTTAGAAGATATATTTTTAAATTTGTGTTGTTTTTATTTAATTATTCATGTGTAAATGTGTATATGTCTAAGTATATATGTTTGTGCACATACACACGCAAGCCACAGAACAATATAGGACATGGGATTTCTTGTACCTCCTTCCACCCAGACATTTAACTCAGATCATCAGGCTTGGAGGTAAACAGCTTTATCTGCTGAATCTTCTTGCCAGCCTTTACGGATTTAAAATACAGAGCTGAAAGGAGTAGAGAGCAGGCTAACAGGCCTCCACCAGAGCTGAGGAGCTACTCATTTTCTTAAAGGGCTAGGTAGCTCCACAACCCCAGCTTTGCTGCCTCGATATACATCTCTCTCTTAGACTGACTCCACTTGCTGTGTGCAGTCCTTCCTTGGCAGTGCCACAGTTCTGACACCCCAACATCTTGGGTTGTCCACAGTAACCCAGACTTCATCTTTATAAAGGCTTTTTCACATTAGCTCATGAGGACTTTGACTCTGTCACATGCTGCCAGATCTCAGTGCTCCCTGATATCAAGGAAGAAAGCATGAAATCTTGAGAACCTTATGTCTCCAAAACCAGTACCACATGGACAACACTGTCAATTTAAGTGTTCAAGGCTCAGGATGGAAGCTGCTCCCATCTGAAGCACAGCTTCAATTGCTTCTATATACCAAAGACGGTGGCTTTCCTTGGTATTTGCCTTCCAGGGACAGGAAACCCCTCTGACTCTTTTCCTAAGTTTGAGCTAGAGTGTATGGAGTCTTGCCTTCTAGGCATCGTGATGACTACTGATCTGTCAACTTGACTACATCCATAATTAACTAAAACCCCAAAATAGAGGGGCACACCTGTGTGGGATTTTTGCTTAATTTGAAGTGGGAAGCTACACTTCTAATCGGATATTTGAGATGGAAAGACACAATCCAGGTCATTTGGTGTAAAGACCCACCTGTAATCTGAGCCACGCCTTCTGCTCAACTAGGCTCCACCTCCCAAAGTTGCCCTAACCTCCACTTTCAGCACAGCCAACTGAGGACCAAGTGTTCAGATACAGGAGCCTGTGGGTGGCATCTCACATTCAAACCACGCGGGTTTACTTAGTGTTTCATATCAATACAAATGCATAGAGTTATGAAGGGCAGTAATAGAGTAAACAGCGTCATCTTACTCTAGTTTGGTGTAGTGTAGTGGCAGATCTCTCAATGGAGATTTGAGCACTGAATGTGATCTCTTTGGCGAGTAAAATAAACACTAGGAGGAAAGCTGAAAGAAGGGCATGAACCGCAGTCCAATAGAAGTAAAAGTAGAAAATGAAATCAGAGCGATACCAAAAGTGGACAATACTCACAAGGAAATCTTCTCACCTGCTTTAAAGCACAGTAATCAGCAATACTGCAGATCAGCTCTGCCATTGCCTGAACCTCATGAGATTTTTTTGTGTTCATAAACTGAATTGCCTTCACATTTTCACCTGAATGAAAACAGAGAAAATTAAAATACTGTTACTAAGGGGAATTTTAATGAGTTGTCACCTGATATTCACAGGTTTTTAAATCAATATTAAAATAGCATAAATTCTATTATGATATCTATGGGATTTCTATTAGTTTAACAGTTATGATTCAGATAGAATAAAATAAAACATCTGCAGATAATTAAAATCATTCCTTGATATAACAAGTAGTTAATTATATTTGAGAAAACTGTACTACAAAAACCTGTTTCATCAAAGAACAGCTTTAAGAGAGTGAGAAGTAACAACGTGGAAATAGACATCCCTGAAGAATACACGCATAAAGATAAAACCAACTCCTATACACCAATAAGAAAAACGTTACCCAATCCAGAGAAGACGAATGAGCCACTTTACCACCTGCACTGTCCAAAGCAGTAGCTACCAACAACATGATTATTTACACTTAACATTACCAAAGTCAAAATACAAATTAAACTTCCAAAGCTATACTAGGCACATTTCAAGAGGTTAACAGCCACATGTGACTGTTTTCTACTTGATAGTGTATAGCACCAGAGAAGATTCTACAGCACAGCACTTTAGAGTATACACTGTATTTTATGGAATAAAAGCACATCTAACAAAGTATTCAACATAATCAGACATGTGGGAATTGGATAGTGGCAAGCTGAAATTTAGGGCTGGGTTAGAAATGAATAAATCTACTATAGCATGGCAGTATTTACTTGTGACATGTCTGCTTGTAGGCCAAGCTTCTTTCCTCTTTGATGGGAAAATGTAAAAACCTTACTAATAAAGTCTTTCCAGGAGTATATGTTTATTATACAGTGGCATTCTGTTGACAGATACCTGCCCAGAAAAGAAAAGTGAGAGACTCCAGGATGGGGAGGAGCTTCCCTCCACACACAGCTGTCAATAGCTTGTATCCCTACTCTGCCTTGTACTGGCACAGGACAACATCCATCCAGACTTGGTGATGGCTTTATGTTTGTATATGCTGTACTTTCTCTTTGATACTCAACGTACAGTCCTTGAATTTTAGAAGGCGGATAGAAGGCCAGGCTTCACTCAGCTGAGGCCAGTTAGAAACAGCTGGCACTGGATACAATGCCAGAAGCAAGGTTGCTGATGAATTCAATTACAGCCAGAATGCCCTTCCCAGAGCCACGATTTCCCAAAATCCTCTGTTTTGCTCCAGGAAAAATATAGTAAAATAATTTTCATTAAAATACTTAGAGATAAAGGAAACAACAACAATGAAAAAAATGGAAGAACGGGGATAAGCTCCCTTTACAATGAAGGGTTCTGAGGATCCACTTTTGCCAGCAAACACTAAGTACGCACTTCTTAGCGAGGTTCATGAAAACGAAATCCTTTAATTAGCGTATCAGTTAAAAGTTAAAAGCTGAATGTAATCATGGGGAAATAATCCAGCAAACCTCCCTACATGCAGCAACTCATCAGTGTCAGCAGAAACAATAAGATGAAAGAAGAAAAAGGAAACAAATCTGCTTCGATTGTCCGACACCCACATGGCAGCTCACAGCTGCTCAAAACTAGCTTCAGAGGCCCTCTTCTGACCTCTGTGTGCAACATGCACACACCTGTACACCAGCAAGCAGGCAAACAAACACTCATACACATAAAATGAATCTAAAAACTTTTTTAAGAAAAAAAGGAGCTATAAATAATTTCTGCAATACTAAAACAAATTTGAATACAGTCTGCTAGTAGATAATGTTCCTAAACCCAAGGTAAAGTCCTGGATGAACCAGCACGCTACAGAATAAGTAGGAGTATATCCTGGTTCTTAGGGATACGTGTTAAAACACTTGCAGGTAATGCGGTATCTGTGACTGATGGTCAAAGGATCCAGGTTTTTAAAAATGTATTTGTGGAGGTGCTTACAGCAAAGAGGTAGGATTTTAACACGGCAAATTTAGATCAAAAGTATCCAGGGTCACTGTAGTATTCAAACAATGTTTCTGTAAGTTTAGAGCTTTCTAAAAAAAAAAAAGAAAGAAAGAAAGAAAGAAAGAAAGAAAGAAAGAAAGAAAGAAAGAAAGGAGAGAGTTGGTGAAACAAAGAGAATCAAACAAGATAACAGACAGTAAGGATCTTGGTTTCCAAGCAACCACCATCCACATTCCTCATATTCTTCCTAAAGAACCAGTTAGAGAGACAATTATCTAAGTGCAATAAAAACTAATGCAAGGATTTTGACATCTGTAGTAGCAGAATTCATACAAGTTAGAGAGTTTGGAACTAACTGTGGTAAAGACACCCAGGGACTAATGTAGCGGAAAGCACAAAGAACCGTATGTGCTCTTAATACAGGATAAGAAAACCTGTCCTCAATATGAGCTGACTTACCAGTGCTCGTAATATCCAGCAACAAGCAAAGACTGTAACGGATAGATGTACACATGAGCCATGTACTACTCTTAAGTACCTCTAAGGCTTAAGCCTACATCACAATCACACATACCAGTTCTCTGTTCTTTATTTACTCGAAGGGCTGTAAGCAGCTGCTCAAAAGGAGTGCACAGCCCCAAGCTTTGCACAGAGTAGTGTTTGACGGCCCAAGCAAAGGCTTCCACGTTCAACAGCTTCCGAGATGTTTCACAAAATACTTTGGGGAGATCAACAAAACCTGAAAAATCGGAGAGAAAAGGAAGATATCGAAACTGTTTGAGATCTTAAAACAGCAAATGAACCCTGGGGATTTTACAGCAACTTACAAGATCTTAACTTTAGATTTTGTCAGTATCTCTAATAGCTCCCTTGCATTTGTTATTTAAATTATTGACCTCTGCAAAACCTGGGTTTAGCGTTTTCTCCATCATGTCTGTAAGGATCAAATTAAAATTTGGTCTTTATGTTTTCCAGGAGCAAAAACAGCAGCTGTTTCCAGTCTGAAGAGTAACGTAGTTGTTTAACTCATGAGCTCTCTTTCCGACCTTCAACTGTGCATTTCAAGGTGCTAGTCTTTGCAACGCTGTTATTCCTTATTCCTGTGGAACAGTACTGCACAGTCTTACTCTTCCATTGTTAAGGGACAACAATTTATTTCTAAGGTTTTCATTCCAATTTGTTCAAAGTGGTTCATAAACCTCAATGGATAGAGCAGTCCAAGTGAGCCCATTCATTAGAACTATTTTTAAAAATGAAATCAACATGTAACAAAATAAAAGCAATCTCACAAAACCAACAAATTCAGTTGTTAAACCACATGTGTAAAGCACTTACTTAGGGGCAGCATAAAATCTAGAGAACAACATTGATTTTACCAAGACCAAACAAACATCATAATTAATGCCATGACATCTTGTCTAGCATAGTTGATACTCACATCTACTTTTTAAAATGTCCACTTAATCACAATGAAAACTGTTGCTCTCTGACAAAACTAAAAACAATGTAACTAATGAATGTATTCAAATTCTAAATAAAATTATATGCATCTGCTCCTATTCTTTTAAAACAAGCATCCCATAAGTTTGAGTATGTTGTTTCTTTATTTTCATTGAATTCAAGGAAGACTTGAATTTCTTTCTTTATTTCTTCCTTAATCCAGGTATGGTTCAGTAGTTGACTGTTCAGTTTCCATGAGTTTGTAGGATTTCTGGGGGTAGCACTGTTGTTGAATTCTAACTTTAATCCATGGTGATCTGATAAGACACAGGTGGTTACTAATATTTTTTTCTAACTGTGGAAGTTTGCTTTATTACCGAGTATGTGGTCAATTTTCGAGAAGGTTCCATGAGCTGCAGAGAAGAAGGTATATTCTTTCCTATTTGGGTGGAATATTCTATAAATGTCTGTTAAGTC